ATAAAATTTGGCTGATTTATGAGTAACCATACTTTGAAATCATTTTTTCTTACATGTGGAGTTGTTTTGGGGGAAAAGGTTGTTATTGGATATATCATGAAAATGCCTTTATTTTATTCCTTGATGCTGTGAATGCATTATACATTTTGTCATTATTACTGCTTTTTACTAAAACACTGAAGTAATGGCATAAAGGGAAACCTAAATTTTGAGCTGTCAACACAGTAAAAAGTATATTTGCAAATTAAGATTCAGATTGTGTTCTGTTTTACTAAATTGTGAATTTATACAATGGCATATTTTTTTATTTATAAGGACTAGTGCCCGATGTTTGTGGTGTGTGCCGATTATCTTTAAATACATATCTTTAAACACTGGGCCATAAGACCCAGTTGGTTTCCTGTGGCCTGTGGTTTTCACTTCCATTTTAACATTCATGTAATTTGTAAAGTGTTTACTGCAGTGTTGTTGAATAAAAAATCTGCTTAGGTTCCAATAGAATTCTGTTGTTAAAAACTGAGGTTTCATGCAAACACAAGTGAACATTGCATTAAATACCCCTAATCCAGTGAAGATGGCTTGCCCAAGTCTCAGTTATCATTGAGAAAATAAATTGCCTGTTGTGCAATCACCACTAAAATTATATCTATTTTGTACCTGAAGAACCTGATGTGCTTCACAAAGTAAAAGATACTGTGAAGTACATTGTCAGCCTCTATGCGCTATAGCATGTGGCTGGATTCCCTGCAGCACATTTCTGCTTACCATCAATGGGAAAATTTGGAGTTTGTATTACAGCTAATAATAGTATACTGAATCTATAAGACATATATCCTGAGTACATGCACTTTCTCATTTTATCATGAAAGTAAGTCTTACTGGTCCTGTTGATGCATGCTTGTAATCCTAGCACTGCAGTTGGCTTAAATTAGTGGAAGAGGAAGTCGAGTCCAACGTACAAATTAGTGTGAACTTATCTCAACATATATCTTCAAGTTCTGCAGATGTAGCTTAATGCTTTAGATCTCCTCTCTTTCTGTGAGTATTTTTTAATACTCACAATTATACATCATTAGTTGTCCTTTTATCACTTGGCCACCTAGCAGTTATCCCTGAGAATCACTTGGGAAGCAAATTTGTTTATGCAGTTTATCCTGAGCATCATTGGGGTCAGTTGTCAATGTAACCCATTCATTCTTGAATACAGTATGAATACATTCATTCTATTGGCCTGTGTACGGTATGAATACATGCATTCTATTGAATACAGTAGAATTGTCACTTTTATATTCCTTGTTATTTTATAAAAACTAACAAAAAGTATGCAATTTTTGATCATTTTGTATTTAAATAATTGCATTGGTAAGGAGTTACCTATAAAGATTAGGCTAAAGGTGATTTCTTTAGTCCCAGCATCAGGAGAGAATGAGGTGGGATGATCTTGGCTTTGAAGCTGACTTTGGGAGGCAACTGCTAGATGATTTAGCAGAATGTGAAGCAAATTGTTTTTATCCCTGCATTTGAAGTTTAAGGAAACAAGTAAGTCAAGGTCAAGAATATAAATGTACAATAGGATAAAAGAATCACTACTGCAAATTGTGATTTTTCTTTCACTCAGGAAATGTACTTTTTTTGGTAATATGTGCAGCAGTCTCAAATATGCCTCTATTAGAGTAAAACATAGTGAAACAAGAAAGGACCAGACATTCCATGTTCTGAATGTAGAAGTATTAAAAAACAGTTTTATTAATACTATTGCTGCTATTTTGTGTAGAAAATAAGGTAGGGTGACAAAACAAGCAAAAAGGACTTTGTAAGATTTTAATCCTCCTGCATGAACATAGAAATCACAAAAAAAGTGAAACCAAAAGGATGAAGAAGTAAACTAAAGAATGAGAGAAATTTTGCCTGTTACTCCCTGACAGCTAACATGTAATACCAATAGGAACATGAAAGGAACACACATTTTTCAGAATATGTACAAATTGCCAAGAAATACCTGAAGAACTATTGAGCACTTTTGCACAATAGAGAAATGCAAATAGGGACATCATCTCATTGCAAAGAGAACTAATCACCACAAGATCTAAAGAACATTCATGAGACTAAAGGAGAAAAGGAACTGTTTAACCTTGTTGGTGGAAATGTAGGTAAGTAGTTCAACTACTACTGAAGTCAGTTTTTAAAGTATTCAAAAGACTAAAATTAGTAATTCTCATTATTGCAGTGCTCCCTTTAGTGGGTCTCTTCCTCAAAGAGTTAAGGACATATTGCAGTGATGCATGCAGATTCCTGTTACTGCAGCAATAGTCATTTTCCTGTGAAGAGCAGCAGCAATCACTGCTCCATCACCACCAAATACCAATGATGAACAACAAATACTCACCAGTGTACTCCGTTTGATAAGTGATGTGATATTTTATTGTGAATTGTGCTGTAACTTAGGTTTTCCTAGTAGACTACAGGTCATCATAAATATGATAGTCATGCTAATGTCACAAGGCCATCACTAGGACACTATTACATTCATTAGATTTGATGTATTTATCTTTTTGAGGAAGCATGTTGCTATGAAGTTCATACTGGCTTTGAGTTCACATTATAACCCAGAGTGGTCTCAAACAATTCTCCTTTCTCAGTGTCTCAAGTACTGGGCTCCACACAAGAGCCACCAAGCCTAGTTTAGATTTGGTATATTAAGTGCATATTCAGGATTTTATTTCAACTGTTTTTGTTATTAAAGCATTTCCATATTTTACCTCCAGTGTCTGAATAAACATCGGCCTTATTGAGATGGTGATGTGCATACCACCAGCCTCCTGACATTCTCTGCTGGGTTCAGCTTCCAAGGACCTGCACCTGCCCAGGAGGATCTGCCCTCAAGGCGTGTCATCAGACCCAGTCACAATGTTGACTTAGGGCAGGAATTGTGTAGGGAGACTCATAGTGGTGGCCAGGCTTTAATGTACCTCTGCTGGACTCCGTGTGTCTGAGTGGCTGGTGGCTGAGTCTAGTGACACCTCTCCTGGGCTCCCTCCTGCCTCTGGGCCCTGAAGGCTGGGGACAGTGAGCCCAGTTGTTTAATGCCCTTGTCATTTGGCATTTGCCAGCAATCATCCTGAAGGCTGTGGAATGAGTGAACCACTTTTTCAGTCATTCCCACATGTTCTACCTATGCGAGATCCTAAGGCTGGGGTCTTGTGTCCTGGGAAAGCAGCATAACATGCTCCCTGTTCACTCTCTAGAGCCAACTGTCTGTGAAGACAAACTCACCAGACCAACGTGCTTGCTGGCCTGAGCCTTCAGAGTTCTGTTTGGACCTGTCTCCAAGGAAGTAAGGTCATGCACTGGGGTCCAGAGTTTGGCCTTCCTCTATGATATCACCTTTCTTTTTGTTGTGGAACAAATCTATGTCCTCCTTAGAAACAAGAAGTTAAAATGCTAGAAAAACTGTGTATACTTTTAGACTTTATTACACTTTGAAGATTTTAATGCAGCAAACATGTAGATGCTTCAGATGTGTCAGGCTGGGTGCCAAACACAAATTTCCATCCAAAGGGTCCATTGTCTCAGAGGATGAAGGACTCATTGTCTTCTGTTAAAGATTTGTCAAATGTTAGGATGACTTCCTTTCTTGGGCTTGTATTAGTTTCCTTTCAGTTCCATTAGGGAGCAGAAAACCCATAATAATTTTACCAAAGAATGTGAAGATCTCATAACCCCCATGTGTCCAGGGGAGGAGGATTCATAGCCAGTTCTACTCTCACATGCTTATGAATGATTATTTATCCATCCTTAGATGTTTAACTCAGCCATACACTGTAGTACTCCACATTCTGACCTCCTGTGAGGGGGGGCAGCAGGTGGTGCATACAAGAGGAGGTGACATCATCATCCCGTACTGATGAAGGACACATGTGCATAGCTCCTGGGGAACTTGTCTCATAGCTGCTGCTATCACTTCCTTTCCTCCCATCCCAATCAGACCATAGGCTTTGTGTCACTGATGGGTAGTTTGCCTTTCCTAGAGGTGATGGCACTGAGCCTTTTCAGTTGCAATACTCTTTGGTTGGTCTCCTTGAAGCAGTGTATCCATGCTGCCACCCTGTGCTGCCACCTCCCACTATTATGGGGCTGAACCAAGCAAATTTGACTTTTCATGTACCTGTCACCCATCCTGTGATGGCCATTTGTTATGTTTCCGGGTTGGACAAAGAAAGCAAGCTGCCACACCCATTCTTACACAAGTATTTGAGTGGATACCAACATTTATTTCAAAGAAAATGCAACATATTGCTGGTGTATGGATAACTTAGAAATTCTTACTGTATCTTTGGAAGCAGATGTTTAAAGTAGAGTTATGTGCTTCCTTTTATTATTTTGTGTTATTATGCTGTACTATGCTATGCTCTGTTGTGTTATGTTAGATGTTGGTAAGGATTTCAAAACTCCCTCAGTGTTTTCAGTGCTTTCTGATTTGATTTTGTGTAACCAACCTGATGAACTTTGAGAATATCACATAAGTCTGAGCAATTTTGTTTTGGAGAAAATTTAAAAAGGAAAGCACAATCAGAGGTGTTGGTGCACACCTGTCATTCCAGGACTCCAAAGGCTGAGGCAGGAAGATTGTGAGTTTGAGGTCATCCAGGACTACCAGGGAAGATCAAAGCCAGACTGAACTGCATAGCAAAACCCTGTCTGAAGAAAAAAGGAAAGAAGAAAGAGAGAGTGAAAAAAATATAAAAATGAAAAGTCAAAAATCGCCTTTCTAGTGAGAAATCAAATCTTTGTGAGGTTCTTTTGCACGTGTACTTTGGTCAGCACACCTAGCATAAGGTTTACCATCATGGATACATTGATGTGCTTCCTGCTGTTTATACTCTTTCAATTTTTTAATGCTTTTTACTTAGATGACTGCAGATATGCTGCTGAATATATCCTCTTAAGATTTGGGTAGTTCAGTATGAAGAGATTTTGATCATTCTGGTTTTTTTTTTTTTTCTGTCCTAAATTTATATTTAGAACCAGAATTTGAGCAAGTGATTACTATTTTTATTTTGAAATAATAATAAGAATCATATAAAGATACACTTTTTAAGTCTATAAAAGATAAAATAAGTATAGATTAATAGTGGTTAATGTACTTTGTTCAGTGACTTCTGAGATTTCTTAATGATCAATATTTTCATACATTTGTAAAAGCTTTTGTTTTGTACAAATTTTAAGACATGGTCTCACTAATTTTCTAAGTGTCCCAGGCTAGGCTTAAAACTTTCCTCATCTTTCCTCCCCCTCCCAGAGTGCTGGGATTACAGGTGTATATTATCCTGAGTTGGCAATTGGTAGCAATGTTGTGTATTCATGGAATAAAATGTTCGGCTTTGGTCTTCAGACACTTCATAGAAAGAGTCACTCTAGTTAAGCTGCCTGCCACCTTCCTAGCCTGCAGTTTCTTTCACAGTAAGTAGGACTCAAAATCCCATTAACACTGTTAGTAGATTCTCGGATTTTCTAACTGTGGTCAGCATGCACTTGAGAAGATCACTCCAAATGAATTTTTTGGGGCACCTGGGAAAGGAATGAGGAAGCTGTAATTAGGGAAAAAGTGGAAGTAGCCATATGGGTAAGCATCCCTGATTTGGCCATTCACCCTGATGACCTACCACCATGATGTCCTGTGATTTATTCTAGGGCAAAACACTTTCGAGTACATCCTTCACTTTGAAGAAATGAAAATAAAGTATTTTGGCTATGTGTCTTCTTCCATGGATGTTGGTAAACAACACACAAGAAAAGTTTTTAGTCTTTTCCTTAATGCATTGTATATACCATAAACAAAACTACAGATTAGTTCTCTTTCAGAAAACAGAAGAAGCACGGAAAGGAAGGTATAAACTCCTTCAATGCAAGTGTCCCTTAAAAGGTCAGATGAAGATTTAAGAAGACAACTATTACTGTTTCTCTGACTTCAAGAAAGAGAAAAATTTATACGGTGTTACTATAGGAGAATGAGACATCTGAGCTACTATGTCTGGTATGAGTTTGTATTCTTTGAAATCAATAACTGAATTTTAGGAACAACAGATGTTAAGAGTAGAATATACTTATTGGGAGAAAGAAAGCTGTCTGAGAAAGACAAGTGTTTCTGAGTGGTTTGGTAAAAACTGTCTTTGTAGGAACTTTTATAGAGTAAATTCATGTGGTGAGATGGGTTGAAGGTGTGGAAAACTGGGAACTCACAATGCAGATGGACATAAGATGGGACAGATCTATGGCAGCCAATAAGATTAATAGTTCTGATAAAGCTGATTAAATGGGAACAAATGGGGAAAGGAGTCACATAGAAAGCAGGCATTCTTAGACAGCAGTGACTCTTCCCTTAGGAGGTTGGGATGGTGACTCCCAACATCCCCAGGATCATAGGAACTATTTAGAATATCAGTCTTTGAGATAGAGATACATTTATTTGAATGGTGACTCCTCCCTCCCTCAGAGTCATAGGGAACTATTTAGAATATCAGTCCTTAGGGTATGGATGAATTTGCGTGATTTTCTGTCTTGAGGCTTGGCCCATAGCAGGAGATGTCCATCTTCTCCATAGTTGCAAGTTGTCTGCGCTTCTGCATGGGCTCATTGGAGGACCTAACCCTGTCTCACTGCCAGTGGTATTTGACTAACGCAGTTTCCCATAACACTATTGTTCAGAAAATTGAATACAGATGTCTTGTGCTCTGGGTAACGATTTGGGGATGACAGTGTACAATGTATATACCATTGTTTTCCCCTGTTTGACATGTTTTGAAATTCGTTTTAGTTTATGTTTTCTTTTTATCCTTGAAACCAAATGGGTTTGGAAATAAAAAGCCTGAGGTAAAGCTCTTTGACAGAAATATTGCACTATCGAGCTGCGATCAACACTGTAGTAGACAGCCAACTCCAGAAATCTCTGCACTACAGTCTATCATTTGATGTCCTCTCTTGCAAGGAGGGGCTCCTTTCACTGTTTATTTTGACTCAGAAGGAGGGCAGTAGATCAGGAGTCAATCAGTGATGAAGAGGCGGGCTATATGAAAAGTCCAACCAGGCAGGACATGGTAGGTGGTCTCTTAGGTTTCTTCCAGTGTCTAGGCATTATCTACTTGTTCTGAGCACAAAACTGGGAGCAGAATGCTTGCTGGATCTCATTTAGTGTTTTCAATATCCTGTGGCCTGATTAGCAAAGAACCTGGGAGACCCTCTAGCCACAGGATGCAGAGGTTGTGGATGGGAACACAGAAATAGGGTGGAATTGGGCAAAATCAGTTACAAGGGGTTAGAAGCAGTTCTGGTGTCTGGAGCCTCAAATATTTAGTTAACTTCACCTCCTGAGGTCCTCCAGCATTGGCCATGGGTCATCCACTGTCCCTTTTGACTCTTACTGGGGGTAAGGGTGATTCTGCATCCCCAGAACCCTGACCTCACTATGACAGCAACAGACTCTAGTATCATCTTTGAAATTCTCTACTGCCCTGGCACCTCCACGATAGTGGACAGGGTAAGGAGATTAGAGAGACACTGACTCTGATGCGTTTTGTAATTGGTGTAATGGTACTGAACTTGGTCTCTGTTCTCATTTTAGGTAGCAGCAAATCTTAAGGGTCTGAAGTTTATAAATGTCTGTAATGCAGGGCCTCATAGCCACAAAAGCATTCCTTAAACTTGTGCTTTTTTGTATCTATAGTGATCACGTAAATTTATAGTATGTTCTCATATTTCCATTCTTATGACAGGTTTTGGAAAGGGTCCTGAGAATTCAGAGATTTGTAGTGGTGTGCCTCAGTGGAGGAAGGCTTCCCAAGCACCTGGTGAACTCCTGTGTATTATACAGAACAATGCAAAGAATTTCTGAACATACTTAAATATTTAGGTGACACCCCTGCTCAAAGACAAGGTTTGTGAGAACAGCCATACAGTTTTGAATTCTGTGAAAAATGATGTAGATATGAAAGTGTTATCAAGGGCAGGGTAAAATGTTCTTGCTAAGGACAAATTCCAAAATGGGATGCCTGTTAAATCCTTATTGAAAATGCCTAAGTTTAAGACATTTGCATGGATGTGATATCCTTCTGAATGGAAAGGAATATGGGTGTCATCTCTGAATTAACAGCTGATTTAATAGCTTGGTTGATCATAGACATTGTTTAAATATGGAAATGCTCTGCAATGGACTTTACTAAGTGACGTAAAGGAGATGCTCTAAATTGAAATTTTGTAGGGATATCAATAGTTAGGCATGAAGCGTTTTCTGCTTAGGGTGGATCAGAGGAGCATCGAAAGGATGTGGAAGTGATTGGTATGATGCAGGGTGCCAATAGCAGGACATACAACAGGGAGGGTCTTCACTGAAAATCAGGTAGTTCTTAGGATAAGCATGAAGTTGAAGTTGGGTTCTGATTGCTTCCTTGAGGTGAATAACACCAGCTCTGGCAACAATCAGTATTCTACATCCTTGAAACCCATGAATTCTGTGTTCCATACTTGAGATGTAGTTTTGATTATCTCTACTTATGCCTCAGTGTCATGAAGGTGAAATTTGATTTTTTTTTTTGAAACACAGATTGAACTCATGACCTCATACTTGCCAGGCAGGATTTCATGTTACTAAGCTAAATAGCCAGCAATGAATATGTTTTCTGTATACTATGGAACATGTCAAAATTATTCCTCAGAAAGTGTTGAATGTTGTTGGAATTTTACTATAATGTACAGCTATAGTTTTTGAAATCAAACCAAAAGTGTCTTATGCAGTCAGTTTTCAAGTTTCACTTTGTGGGATTTTACAGTCAGGACCTCTCTATTTCATACAGCTCTGTAACTGAGGTTGGCCTCAATCTCAAGGCATTACTCCTGAATCAGCCTCCCCAGATATATTTCTTATATCCGAGTGAAAGGTAATCACTTGGTGACACTAAGCTATAATTTACAACTTGTGCCTGGTTCCATTGTTTATACATTGTTTACATAAACAATTTTCCATTAACATTTGAGTTATAATTTAGGTACCACATTTCATTTTATTTATGTTTTGTTCTATGAAATGTATTTCAAATTTCAAAATGCTTCTTAAGTATATTAAGAACAAATAACTCAGTGGCCTAAATAAGATTTGAAGAGATATCATCTGTAATCTATCAAAGTTATTGATGAGATATTTGTCTGCCTTTGTGCTTTGTGAATGCTGGTCCTGCAGCCTCCCATTGTGAGCTCTGCTTTAGAGACAGTGCACAGGGACTCTTGCAGTGACTCAGCCCAAAATCAATGCTCCTTTTTAACTGTTACATTAAAAATGAGTTGCTATATAAATTACTATATAAAGTTGCTATATAAAGTTACTATATAAATAGTAACTCTTTTCGATTTCCTATTAACTTGTTTTGAAGTCCTGTAGTACTCCCACGATCTTGTTTTGACTGATTAGACTCTGTTCCATTCTATATGATAGTATCAAGTTTGAAGACATAGGCAACTACTTTGAAGACAATAAGATTCACTAAGATACCCATTCTGGTTTGACTATTGTCTTCTTTGGAAGTCCTGTAATGTTTACAACGCCTAAGTTTTATTGGTCTTGTTCTCTACTGTTTTGTCCAACTTTATAATATCTAATAAGATAGACAATTCTTTTTAAGGAAACAAGGGACAACGTTGATAACCATTGTTGATAAACTTGTACTCTGTTCTACACCATGTGCTACATCTATCCTTGGTATTGGCTGACAGCTTTGTTTTGCCATATTTGACTGTATTCTTCCCCCCCCAAAGAAAGTAATAAGCACTAAGGAGTAATAAAATCCAAGATGTGTAAATTTTGTTGTAAAAAAGAGAGGGGGAAAAAAAAAAGAAAAGGAGCTCTAACGGATATAACAGCAAGTGTGTTTGAGGGTGTTAAATAGCTGACTTTATCAATGTTTTTGGAACATTGAACACAGCTGTTTGCAGTCTCCCTGTTTGAATGTCCACCTTGTGTTCTTTGATACTGTGATTTGAGGAACTATTTTCAAGAAAATAGTGTGTAATCTACTAGCAGGTAATTTCTTACTGTTATGATTTTTTGTTTTGTTTTGTTTTGTTTTGTTTTGTAGTTCTGTATTGCGTGTACCCTTACGCCGCTTTGGTTTGTTTTGTGTTTTTCTCTTTTTCCTCTTAAATAAAAAAAATAAAAATAAAAATAAAATAAAATAAAATAAAATAAATAAATAAAAATGAGTTGCAATCTAGCATCAAAATTACTGTCTCAAACAATGTGTATATGCACAAAATTAATGACAGAGACATGGAATTAAGATTTCTTAAGTTTAGTTTTATTGAGACAGGCTTTCACTATGTATATCAGCTGTATTTGGACCCCCTATGTAGGCTAGAATTGCCTTGAACTCACAGCAGCCTTCCTGTTTCAGCCTATTTATTGCTGGGATTAAAGATATGCATGACCATACTTAGTTTTTGATTCACATTTTTATGAGAGAATTTAAGATGTCCCAGGCTTGAGTCTCAAACTTCTTTTGAGAAATACATGTGTATTTCTCATGTGGCTGTGAACTTCAGCAGTGAGGAGTGGACTTTGCTGAGTCCATCCCAAAAGAAAGTCTACAGAGATGTGATGGAGGAAACCTTTGAAAATGTATAAAATTGCATATAAATGAGTATAAAAAACATACACTTTGAGTTTTGATAGGATCCGACCTTCAGTTTACCTACCCATGTATACATTTGAATACAAAACAATCATTATCAAAAAATTGCTAAAACTGCAGCACAATTTGAAATATAAATGAATGCTCATGTTTCAAAGCCATTCTCAAGAGAATCAGTCCCTTCTAATTAAAATTCTTAGTAGACTGGTGTTATGTTAAGTGAAGTTACACTGAAAATCATTATGCAGTAGTCTCTAGAAGTTGATCCCATCATACTTCTCCTGAATTGTATTTTCAAAAGAGTCAAAACAAACATAAAATACAGATACATGCTTATTCATATGCAAAGCAGATCAAGTTATAACAGATGAGGCCTTGAAGCAGCTTAGCTATCACTGGATTTGTGGAGAAGGAAAATATTAATAGTTTCTGTGTGAGTGTGCATTCTTGTAAACCCAGCACCCTGGGAATAAGATTTTGCAGAATGGCAAATTCAAGTTCAAACTTAAAAGCTTAATCATCAGTGAAAATCTCTTAAAATAAAGAAGCTAGAGATTTAGTGCTGACACCTGTGGCTGATTTTGAGTACAGAAAACAATAAAATATGTGCTATGTAATCAGTGAAAAATAAATAATGTAATGTCATTTGCCATAAAAATAATTGGTTGCTCCTCCCATCAAGTTCAGTGAAATAGCTCAGCTACAAAATGTAAAAGGTCACAGTGTTTCTGTTAGATGAGACACCAAAATATAAATTGTGGGGTGAAATGAAAGAGAGTTGATACAGAAAGGTAAGCCTGATCATTTGGATAAGGGAACTACAGGCTAAGGACAGAAAGGAGATGGCTATTGGGGAAAAATCAGAATGATCAATATGTGATACACATATAGACCCATGCCCAAAGTGAAGCTAAATGTTTTGCATTTCAAAATATACAAACTTTTAAGATTCCCAAATGTATACCACTCTTTTGGAAATGGTTGTTTTCCAAATATCTTGCAAGGCATTCAGTTACTTCATTGTCAGAATTTCTTAGCAGGCATCAAAACTGAACTTGTCCTTAAGGCAGTCATTAGTACAGAGACCCATTTCAGTGTGATTTTTTTCCTATTTTAAATTTTATTTAAAGAAAGAATAATACAGAAAATGGGTAGAAATTATACTACTCTCAAAGAAAAAAAATAAATAAGAAGTAACATGTTGATGATTACATGATATCCACTTGTAAGTAGTTGCTTAAGACACAAAATTGAAGCATATAAAGTGGGGTCTCAAACAGCTAGACTGCAAAGAGTTCTAATTAAATACCCAACAAAAACTTAGTAATATAGTTATCAGTCCTATATGTAATTTATTTCTTTACAGAAATGATAAGGTAGGAAAATACTACGGACTTACATCTTGCAATCAGTATAAAGAAGTATTCCTTTGTACTCCAGAAAATATGGTTGTGAAAGAAACAGACACAAACTATGATATTCAGATCCATGAAAAATATCAAAATAGAGGGAAACATATGTATGTGAGCAATGTGGGAAACTTTTGCAACATGTGGAGATTATAAGAAACATAAAAGAATTCACACTGGAGAGAAACCATATGTATGTAATTTATGTGGGAAAACTTTTTATACAGGTGGAGATTGTAAGAATCATGAAAAAAATTCACACTGGAGAGAAACCTTTGTATGTAAGCAATGTGGGAAAGCTTTTACCGCACATGGACAGTGTAAGAAACATGAAAGAATTCACAGTGAAGAAAAACCCTATGTATGTAAGTAATGTGGGAAAGCTTTTACCCAACATGAAAATAGTAAGAAACATGAAAGAATTCACACTGGAGAAAAATTTCTTTTATGTCAGCAATGTGGGAAAGGTTTTACCACATGTGGACAGTGTAAGAACCATGAAAGAATTCACACTGGAAAGAAACACTCTGTATGTGAGCAATGTGGGAAAGGTTTTACCACAAGTGGGCAATGTAAGGAACATGAAAGAATTCACACTGGAGAAAAACCATATATATGTAAGCAGCGTGGGAAACTTTTTACCCAATGTGGACGTTGTAAGCAACATGAAAGTATTCACACTGGAGAGAAACCCTATGTATGTCACCAATGTGGGAAAGCCTTTATGCATTTTCACACCCAAGATAAACACATAGTTAAATTATATAAAAACAATTATAATTATATAAAAAACACAGTACAGCTTACCAGAATCTGGGAGATGCAATGAAGGCTGTCCTCAGAGGAATATTTATTGCACTGAGTTCCCACATCAGGAAAACAAGGAATATAAATAAACAACCTGATGCTACACCTCAAACATCTAGAAAGACAAGAGCAAGTGGAGCCCAAAGCCAAAAGAAGGGAGGAAATTTTAAAAATTAGAGCAGAAATTAATGTCATTTAGACTAAGAAAACAATCCAAAAATCAATGAATCACAGAGGTGGTTCTTTGAAACAACAAATAAAATTGGTAAGATCATACCCAACCTTATAATAAAAATGAAAGGAAAAGCTCAAACTCAGGCACTAAGGAATGAGAAAGGTGAAATCACCACAGACTCTGTGGAAATACAGAAGATCATCAACACCTATTTCAAAACCTCGACTCTCATAGGTTCATCAACAAAGAAGAAATGGACAGATGTCTTAGAACATATGAATTACCCAAGCTGGGTGAAGATGTAAAACTTCTGAATAACCCAATTTCTATTTATGAAATTGAAAATGTATATTAAGTTCTTATCTACAAAGAAGAGCCCAAGTCCAGTCGGATTCACTGCAGAATTCTACAAGAAATACAAAGAAGACTGAATGCTGACACTTCTCAAAATCTTCAATGAAATTGAAAGGGAAGCAATTCTTCCTAAATCATTCCTAGAAGCAAATATTACTCTAGGACCAAAACCTGAGAAAGGCCAAGCTAAGAAAGAGAATGAAAACCCAACTTCCCTAATGAGCAAAGATGCCAAAATCCTTAATAAAATATTGGCAAACAGGATGCAGCAAATCATCATGAAGATTATACATCATGACCACAAGGGATTCATCACAGGAATGCAGGGTTGGTTCAACATGTATAAATTAATAAATGTAATCTACCATATCAATTAAGCCAAACATAAGAGTTACCTGATCATTTCTATAGATGGAGAAAAAAGCTTTTGTAAAATTCATTCATGATAAGAACCTTACAGAAAACTGGAAAAGATGGTCTTTACCTCAATATGATAAAGGCCATCGATGAGAAACCAACAGCCAGTATCATATTAAATGGCCAAAAATTGAATGCCTTTACCTTAAAATAAGGCACAAGACAAGGATGTCCCTTATCACTGCTTCTATTCAACATAGTACTGGAAATACTAGGCATAGCAATTAGAAAAGAGAGAAATAAATTGGGTAAAGATAGGGAAAGAGGAAGTTAAATAATCATTATTTGCAGATAACATGATACTCTACATAGAAGACCCCCAAAACTCCATTGAAAGTCTCCTAGATATAATAAATTCAGCAATGTAGCTGGATACAAAGTCTGTACCAAAAATCAATAGCATTCCTATACACTAACAAACAAATCATTGAGAGAAAAATGAGAAGCCACACCATTCACACTAGCATCCAAAAAAAAAAGAGAGAAATTCTTAGGAATTAATCTCAGAAATGAAGTAAAATACCTATATAGGGTAAATTATAATACCCTGAAAAAGAAATCAAAGTTGGTCTCAGAAAATGGAAAGACAACCCAAGCTCAAGGATAGGAAGAATAAATATAGTGAAAATGGCCATTCTCCCAAAACTGTTATAAAGATTCAGTGCAATCCCAATAAAAATACCATCAACAAACCACATAGATCTAGAAAAATCACTCCTAAAATTTATCTTGAACCAGAAGAGAACTGGAATGGCAAAAGCAGTTCTAAGCAACAAAGGCAAGGCAGGAAGCATCACAATCCCTAACTTGAAGTTATATGACAAAACTACTGTAATAAACTCAACATGGTTTTGGAATAAAAACAGATCTGACGATCAATAGAATAGATTAGATTATACAATCACAACTACCGACACACTCAACTACTTTATCTTTAATAAAGTGGCCTAACATGTTCACTGGAAGATCAATAGTCTTTTTAATAAATGGTGCTGGAAAAACTGGCTTTCCATATGCTGAAAACTAAAACTATTCCCATGGCTATCACCATGTACTAAACTAAATTCTAAATAGATCAAAGATCTGACAGAAACACTAAATCTGTTGGAAGACAAATTAGGTAAAAATCTTGACGACATTGGGGTAGATAGAAAATTCAAGAACAGGAATCAAAGTGCATGGGAAATACTTCGCAGAATCAATAACTGGGATCACATATTATTAACATGTTTCTGCATATTAAAAGAAATATTCAGCAGAGTGAAAAGAAAACCCACAAACTGGGAAAAAATCTTAGTGAACTGTCCCTCAGATAAAGGATTTCTCTCTAAAACATGTTAAGAAATTTTAAAAAAAAATCAGACTCCAAAAATTCAAAGACCCAATCCAAAAATGGCATCTAAGATGAATACTCAGTTCTCAGATGAAGAAATACAAATGGCAAATAAATACATGAAAAAATGTTCATCATCATTGATCATTAGAGAAATGCCAATTAAAACCACACTGACATTCCATCTCATTCCAGAAAGAATGGCCAGGATCAAGAAAACTACCAACAACAAATGCTGGAGTGACTGTGGGGGAAAAGGAACTGGTTTAGACTGGTGCAATCATTATGGAGATCAGTCTGGAGATTCTTCAAGAATCTGGAATTGGAATTCCCATTCGACCCAGCTATTCCACTTCTAGGCATATTCCCAGAGGAACTGAAAATATCATACAACAGTGATATATGTGTACCCATGTTGATAGCAGCACAATTTGTAATAACCAGATCTGGAAACAACCTAATTGTCCATTAACTGAAGAATGGATAAAAAAGGTTGTGGTATTTTTTATGCAACGGAGTACTCCTGGGCTATAAAGAATGATCACATTGAGATATTTATAAATAAATGGACGCAACTTGAGACCATACTCATAAGTCACACTCACAACAAAGACCAGGGCTATCCTGAAAGGCACCACAGGTGTCCTCAGTGACACGGAGGCCCTGAGCTCCTCCGACGACAAGCACTGTCAGGTATGTGCCAGGAAGCAGCGTGACAAATTCATCCTGGAGACCAAGCAGCATATGTCTCCCCCTCCAAAGCCAGGAAGCAATGCTCGATTGGACCAAACCTCTCCAAGGGAACCAACAGCTCAGACAGCAAATCGTAGGAGAACCCACAATGGCTCCCTAACACCTCAACCCTCATCTCCCTTCTTCTACACCTATTTATCCTGAAAACTTTCCTCAGGTGGAGCAACTTCATTCAGTGCCATGCTGATATAATCCAGCTGGCATTAAGTTGACCACCAGTTCTCAATCCATAGCATTGATTTTACTATGGTTGCTTTGTAGTATAACTTCAAGTCAGGGATTGTGATGCCTCCTGCCTTGTCTTTGTTGCTGAGAACTTTCTTTGCTATTCTAGGTCTCTTCTCACTCCAGATGAATTTTAGGAGTGATTTCTCTAGATCTATGAGGTAGGTTGATGGTATTTTTATTGAGGTTGTATTGAATCTGAATTAGAGTTTTGGGAGAATGTTCATTTTCACAATATTTATTCTTCTTATCCATGAACAAGGGATGTATTTCCATTTTCTGAGAACATTTTCAGTTTCTTTTTTCAGTGTATTATAATTTTCCCTGTATAGTTCTTTCACTTCTTTTGTAAGATTAATTCCTAAATATTTCATTTTTTGGTTGTTAGTGTGAAGGATGTGGCTTCTCTTATTACTCTGTCAGTGAATTTGTTGTTGGTGTATAGAAATGCTATTGATTTTTCAGAATTGATTTGTATCCAGCTACATTACTTAATTTATTTATTATATTTAAGAGTCTTTCAATGGAGTTTAGGGGGTCTTCTATGTAGAGTATCATGTCATCTACAAACAATGATAATTTAACTTCCTCTTTCCCTATCTTTACCCCTTTTATTTCTCTCTCTTGTCTAATTGTTCTGCCTTGTATTTCCAGTACTATGTTAAATAGGACTGGTGATAAAGGACATCCTTGTCTTGTGCCTGATTTTAAACTAATGGCCTTCAATTTTTGGCCATTTAATATGATACTGGCTGTTGGTTTGTCATAGATCGCATTTATTATATTGAGGTCAAGACCATCTAATCCAATTTTCTGGAAGATTCTTATTGTAAATGAATGTTGGACCTTATCGAAAGCTTTTTCTGCATCTATAGAAATGATCATGTGATTCTTACTTTTGGCTTTGTTGATATGGTGCATTACAGTTTTTGATTTATGTATGTTGAACCATCCCAGCATGCCTGGGATGAATCCCACTTGGTGATGATATATAATCTTCTCGATGATTTGCTGCATCCTATTTGCCTATATTTTATTGAGGATTTTTGCATCTGTGTTCATTATGGAGATTGGTCTATAGTTCTCTTTTTTAGCTGGGTCTTTCTCAGGTTTTGGTACTAGAGTAATATTTGCTTCCAGGAATGACTTAGGAAGGATTGCTTCTCCTTCAATTTCATTGAAGAGTTTGCGGAGTGTTGGCTTTAGGTCTTCTTTGTATTTCTTGTAACATTCTGCAGTGAATCCATCTGGGCCTGGGCTCCTCTTTGTAGGTAGGGACTTAATTACATTTTCAATTTCATTAATAGACATTGGGTTTTCAGCAGTTTTACATCCTCTTGACTTAGCTTTTGTACTTCATATGTTGCTAGGACTCTGTCTACTTTTTGTGTTTTATCAAACCTTTGAGAGAACAGGTTTTCCAAATTGGTGTTGATAATCTTCTGTATTTTTATAGAGTCTGTAGGGATTTCACCTTTTTCATTTCTTATTGCATTAAATTGAGGTTTTTTTCCCTTTTTAAAATAAGGTTGTCGAGGGGCTTATCAATTTTATTTATTCTTTCAAAGAACCAACTCTTTGATTTATTCATTCTTTGGATTTTTTTTTTTTTTTAGTCTTTATTGCATTGATTTCTGCTCTGATTTTTATAAATTCCTCTCTTCTTTTGGCTTTGGGCTTGACTTGCTCTTCTTTTTCTAGCTGTTTGAGGTGTAGTATCAGGTTATTAATTTGTATTCATTCTGTTTTCCTGATGTGGGAACTGAGTGCAATAAATTTTCCTCTGAGAATGGCTTTCATTGCATCCCACAGATTCCAGTATGTTGTATTTGTATTTTCATTTTCTTGTAGATATATTTTAATTTCTTCTTTAGTTTCTCCTGTGACCCACTGATTATTCAAGAGTGTGTTATTCAGTTTCCATATATTTGTGGGATTTTTGCATTATCTTTTATCATTAATTTCTAATTTCAAAGCGGTATGATCCGATAACATGCAAGGTATAATTTCAGCTGTTTGCATTTATTTAAATGTGTTCTGTGAGCTAATATATGGTCTATTTTAGAGAATGACCCATGTACTGCTGAGAAGAATGTGTATTCTTGTTGGGAGCCGCGTCTGTGATAGCTCGCCTTGCGCGGCGGACGTGCGGCCTGTGGTAAAGAGCAAAGCCTGAGGTAGATTACCCCTCCCATCGAATATGTTAGTTTCCTGCTTACCGCGTAAACAACCCGCTCAACAATATAGTCTGCCTGGCAACTGATGATGTTAGCCAATCAGCTTGCCTTGCTTACTTTAACATGATTGGACACTGTACCCGTATATATACCGGTGCCACCCCTGGGCGGAAGAAGAAGCCAGGTAGAAGCCCAGAAGTAAAAGCCCAAAAGGAGCCGCGGAGAGCGGACCGGTAGAGGCTTTGGGGCAGACTGAAGCACAAAAGGAGCCGCGGGGAGCGGACCAGAGGAGGCTTCAGCTGGGAGAACCCAGGGCAGGCTGTACGGAGAAGAAAAATAAAAAGAAAAGGTTGTCCACTACCAGACTTTGTCGTGTGTCCTTCCTGCCGGCCGGGAGCGGACATCGACATTTGGAGGCCCGCCCGGGGACTGATCACCCCCGAGATGTGACAGCGGACAACGCTCCAGTACAGAGCTG